TGATGGTGGTGAGTGTATGGATGATGGTGGTGGAATAAGGGAGATGGTGGTGAGTGTAAGGATGATGGTAGAGTGTAAGGAATGATGGTGGAGTGAAGGATGATGGTGGTGAGGTAAGGATGATGGTGGTGAGTGTAATGGATGATGGTGGTGAATGTATGGATGATGGTGGTGAGTGTATGGATGATGGTGGTGAAATGGGTGATGATGGTGGGTGAGTGTATGGATGATGGTGGTGGAGGTATGGATGATGGTGGTGAATGTAAGGATGATGGTGGTGGGGAGTGTATGATGATGGTGGTGAGGTAAGGATGATGGTGGTGAGTGTAAGGGGATGATGGTGGTGAGTGTATGGATGATGGTGGTGGAGTAAGGATGATGGTGACTATATTTTTGTATCATTCTCCCTCTCTTTTCTCCCATTTTCTCTCCATACACAGGGTCGACCTCTCCGACGACCCAACACGGTGAGGAGTGATTGGAACCTCACCCTTAAATACCTGGGACACAAGGACGTCGGCCTCTACACCTGCGTCGCCTCTAATCCTGAAGGAGACGGAGAGAGTAATGCTGTGGCCCTGCCACATAGATTGTGAGTACCTACCTGACGAAGGGGTTATGAACCTACCTGACGGAGGGTTGTGAACCTACCTGACGAAGGGTGTGAACCTACCTGACGAAGGGGTTATGTACCTACTTGACGAAGGTGAGGGACTTTAACATGTGATACCAGACGACTCTGAGAACCTACCTGACAGAAGGGAGTAACATCTGAAGAGGGGAAGAACTGTGAGTACCTGCTTGCCAAGGGGGAGGGGGACAGTGGGGACCAAGTGAACGAAAAGACAACGAATGGGTGAATGAAGGAACCCAGGCGGACATAGTGAGGACACCAGATCTCTCTCTACTAATTCCGGTGTCCGTCTCTCCCTCACACAGATGCCCCGGTGTGGAGGGAAGGAGCGAGGAGGTGTTGGCGGTGGTGGGGAGAAGGTGGAGATGGAGTGTCGTGAGAGCCTCTCCCCAAGGTCACCTACACCTGGGAGAGCGTCACCTACACCTCCAACATGAAACAGGTGAACATTAAGAAAGATTTTTTCCTTATAATTTCCCTAAACCGAGATTTTAGGAAACATTTTGATTGTTTCCATTGTGTTAATTGTAGTAAGTTAAAATGGTGATGATGATGATTGTGGGTATGGTCGTAGGGTGATGATTGTGGTAATGGTGGTGATGATGATGATGATTGTGGTACTGGGCGTAGGGTGATGATGGTGATGGTGGTAGGGAGATGGTGGAAGGGTGATGATGTTGGTGATGGTGGTAGGATGATGATCGTGTTGATAGTGGTAGGGTGATCATGGTAATGGTGAGGTGGAGGGTGATGGTAGGGTGCTGCATATGGTAGGTAGAAACTGGTGAGAAAGTGTTGGAAAAAAGAAGAAAGTAGTGGAGATAGGGGAGAAAAAAGGATGATGGAGATAGTGGAAGAAAGTGGTGGAGACAGGAGAGAAAGTGATGGCGACAGTAGTAAGAATAATGGAGATGGTAGGAGAAAGTACTAGAAAATCACCAGAGACGATTGAGAGAAAACAGGAAAAGCAGTGGTGAAAGTATAAGAGACAGTAAGGATAGCAATGAAGAAAGGACTCTCATTAGTGAAGGAACAGTGAAGAAAGAAGTGAAAGATATAAAAATACAACGAGAATAAACAGAGAAAAAGAAAACAATGAAAAACTATGAAAACGCACGGGAAAATTATGAAAGCAACAAGATTTAAAAGTAGTGAAAGTTATCAAGGCAACAAAATTTAAAAGCAGTGAAAGTTATCAAGGCAACAGGATTCAGAAAGCAACAGAAAAGAAAGCACAAGCAAGAAACTGTCCCCTTTAACAAGAACGAAGCAAGAACAGCCCCTGGACATTCCTGGAGGCTATAATCCAAACTTTCAGTCAGCGGCTCCCACATTCCTAATTCACTCAGCATCACTAATTCATTTCATTCTGTCGCTCTGGATGGAGGCCGGTGGGAGATGTGGCAAGGTTGCTCACTCGTGCAGATTAACGCAGAGGTTGCCTGAGTCCTGGTCTAAACACTCTCGCCCGTGATGTGTGATCCTTATGACTTTACCTGCCCATTCACTTCATTCACCTGTGTCTTATTCATTACTATCTAGGTAATTAATGGTTGATTCATTACTCAGGGGTTATAAGGGTTATTTATTCATTATTGACCCATATCTTAATGAATAACTCACCACCTATTCACTATCTGTCTGAATGACTCACGCCACGCCCACTACTTACCTAAATAACTCACCCTTTAACCCACCACTCACCTAAATAACTCACCCCTTAACCCACCAATCACCTAAAAACCTCATCCCCTTAACCCACCACTCACCCCTTAATCCACCAATTACCTAAATATCTTACCCATTAATCCACCACTCATCTAAATAACTCACCCCTTAATCCACCAATTACCTAAATATCTTACCCCTTAATCCACCACTCATCTAAATAACTCACCCCTTAATCCACCACTCATCTAAATAACTCACCCCTTAACCCACCAATTACCTAAAAACCTCATCCCCTTAACCCACCACTCACCTAAATAACTCACCTCTTAACCCACCAATTACCTAAATAACTCACCTCTTAACCCACCACACCACCTAAATATCTCACCCTTTAACCCAACACAGATCAAGTTATCACTGGAACACACGGACTCTGGGCTGACGTCGACGGGGTGGATGAAAGCAGATAACGTCAGCAGTGGACAGAAGGCAGAGTGTCAGCCCAGGAACGAGGTGGGGCAAGCTGACCGTCCTCGTGTCTTCAGCATACTACTCGTCGGTAATTAAACTTAACCGGTTCTTCTTCTTCTTCTTCTTCTTTGTGTTTTATTTTGTATCTTCTTAATCTAATTCTCCTTCGCCCCCCCTCTCTCTCAATTATCCACACTACTAAAGGAGCCACCACATCCACTCAACACTTACGAAGAAATGTATGGATGTCACATGTTATTTCAGCCATTACGTATAGATATTATTCCAGGTAATATATGAGGATAATATACCTAACCCTAGGGTATAATAAATACGTTATATATTACTCAAATTAGACTAAAAAGATCGTGTCTATAAGATATATAGAGGGTGTATAAGATCCCGTTCATATATTACAATTTATAAGGACGGGATTTATACATAATATAACGCATTATATATAGACTATGGTAAAAAATATAAAGTATAATGATCTCCTTATAGGGAACATAGAACATGAAGCCGTGACGTGAATTATATAATATGACTGATCACTCCGTCACTCTCAGGCGGAATAATAAATTTCTCGTCCTTAATAACTCGTAACTGTGAACGTGTTTCGTATTGTGCTGATGGAGAACAAGAATCACTGTTTACACGCACCATCCGGGTACTTTATTCTGTAACGTTAGTACAAGGAGAGGTACAGGTATAAAGTACAGGTATGGGTTACAGGTAAGATGCACTATTACAGGTATCTAATAGATGGCGTAATCGCAACAGGTACATGTTTAAGTGTAAATTACAGGTAATGATATTCGAAATATAATTTAGGTAATTATTATAAACATCAAAACAATTATATATTTAGAAATTCCCATATAATTAAATGCTATAAATTTCCATATAATTAAATACTATAGTCAATTCATTCATACACAGCTAATAATGTAATTAATTTGAGTAGTTACCGTATCCCACACCAATTTAATTTGCTTTCCAAAAGGTGTGTGGGTGATGGAGGAAGGTGAGAGAGTATTAACCTGTCACACTCACGGACAGGTAAAGGAAGGTGGGATGACGAGGTGTAGAAGATAAGTGTCTCTACACACACACACACACACACACACACACACACACACACACACACACACACACACACACACACACACACACACACACAAACTTGTAGTCAAGCCTTTCACTAAATGTTGAAGCACAAGACCCAAAGCGGATTGGCAGTCTGGGAATCAGGGGACCCGCAGCTTACGTACTCTGCATCATTAAATAAGGAGACACACTACACCGACTCTCACTCAGGATATGACTAGAACTGTCTTTAACAATTACTGAAATCGAGTTAATTAGCTATGTTATATAAGATAAAGGGAACAGCAGCTCCAAAGTTCATTTTAATTGGCTATGATTACATGTTAGAATCTTTCTATTCGCACGGTGGTTGGTTAGTGAGGTTCTAAAATTCCTGCGTATGTTTCTTTTTAACAGAACCACCGAGCACGCTGATTGGCTGTTACTACCATGACGTCACTACGGACTCCGCTGCCGTCACCTGCTCGCCTGGACCAACCTCCAGTCAGCTGCCAGAGATATACCACATCGAGGTGAGGACGTCATCACCAGGCCTTGTGCTGATTTGTCCATACTCACTATGACGTTAGCTACCCTTTCTAGTACTTGGTCAGGTTAAATCCAGGTAATGTTAGATTTGGATTAGGTTTAAGGTCAGCATCAGGATATGGGGAGTTTCTCGTGGTCATGGGGGGAGGCTGGTGGGCGAGGAACACCATATCACTTCAAACTTCATAGTAGACGAACTTCTGTGTAGTAAGCCTTTTGAAGAAAAATTTGAATTATACGAAATGTTAGTACTGGACGCTACTAATGACAGGTGTTACAGGTGCTAGGCGCCACTAACAACAGGTGTTACAGGTGTGAGGGGTCGGTGGTGGTAGCGGCGTACAACAACACAGAGCCCAGGTTCAACCTCACCTCACTGGCGCCAGGACGAGACTACGTGCTGGCCATGTTCGCCAGCCACGCCAAGGGCCGCGGCCACCAGACCACCTTGTTGATGAAGACCCACACACCCAAGGCGGAGCAGGTGGCACCTGAGAGGGTGTCCGTCAACTGTGAGTGTGTGTGTGTGTGTGTGTGTGTGTCAGGAAGACGCACACAGCCTCAGCTAAGTAGGTCACTCACATAACAGTAAAGAAGTGGTCAGACCTGTTAAGAAGGCCACCATTATTTACAGAAGGCGGCAGTAGACTGTCCTGCCGGTGTGACTGTCTGGACCAAATGGGAAACACTAACTTAAAAAAGAAAGTAATTGTGTAGTCTTATCTAGGTGAGTTACGAGATGGTCGTGGCTGTAGAGGAATATAATATGATTAACTAGATTTTAATGAGATATTTTTCAAGAATATTCATTCACGTGTTAATTGAAAAAAAGTTACGAATATTTAAGGAAAATTAACAAAATAAATTAAGTAATGTTAAGAGTAATAAAGACAATTTTAGGAAGGTGTTAGGTAAATTAAAATTAATATATGATAAGAAAGGAATGTCTGAAAGTACGGTGAATATATTAACAACGTAATCAATCTTAATTACATGCAGTGAAGAAGCCAGGGGGTGACGGACCCAACCCCACAGACCCCCCGCGGAACGGAGGCGGCGCCCCTGTGAGCGTGGTGGTATCTGCTGTGGTGGGCGTGGTGGTGGGCGTGGCGGTGGTGGTGGCGGGTGTGGTGACCTGCCGCGCCCGCCGTAACCACGCCTCCTCTCCTGGTAAGAGTCACCAGCATCAGAGCGCCTCCAGGGACTCACTGCTTGAGCTCTCGCAGGGCGCCTTGTACCAGTCCTGCACCAGCCATCCTCTGTTTGGTAAGTCCTGCACCTTAGGCTACTTTAGGGATTCCTACACCAGTCATCACCTCCGATAAGAAGCCTGTAAAACCATACTTCCAGTGACGAGTCCTAGTGTGAGTCCTACAACCTTCATCCTTCCTAAAGTTGTCCTCATTAAGTCCTCACCTGTCACATCTCACGGATCCTTCTGTGTCCTCTCTGTAGCACACACACACACACACACACACACATCACCGTGTTCGCTGGTAAGTCTTCCTCATATTCCACATACTTCTGAGTCTTGTCTCGGAAGTTTATCTGCCTCAAGGAAAGTTTTATCTCTCTATTAATATCAACAAATTAAACTTCAAAATGACATTCCTACGGCCTGAGTTTGGTAATATTTGTCTCGTACTTTAGCAATACTGGTATTACCAAAACTATGTAAATGAGATAAAGAGTTAATGTGACAGTGAGTTTTCGTGAAGTAAATTAAATTATAAGTAGGTTATGTTCACAGGATTGATTTATGAATACATCAGTTTTATAAATACAGAGAGTGTCGATGAATTACCCGCGGCTGGTTATTGGATTATATTTTGACGTGTGTATCGTATATTTATAAAAAAATATTTATTTGTTAACGTGTAAGAATGTGTATATGATGAACCCTAATGTGGTTATATATTAGGTGTGTATGTGTGTGTGTGTGTGTGTGTGTGTGTGTGTGTGTGTGTGTACAGATAAACACTATGCCTATGGGCAGTCCTAACCTTCTTCTTCAGAGTTGCTGGCAACCTTTACTCCGGGCCCCGTGGTGGTGACCCAAGTGACACCGGGCAGGTCATCCAGACGAGCCTCCACCCGCAGTGTCCCTGGCAGCGGATCCCCCAAGATAACCCGTGCTAGGACGCCCTCCGTGAGTGGGGGTCCTGTACACGTGGTGGAGGTGGAGGCTGACGACATCACCACCCCCAGAGTGGAGATTCACTTCCAAGTTTTCAAAGTTCAACTTGGGTGGCGACGCTTTCACCCTCCACCACGGTTCCCCGCCCCTAGCGCTGCGCTGTAAACCTCTCCAGCAGGCTCTGTCGCAGGCTACTCCATACTTGACCCCAGGTGGTTCCTCAGGCAGAACCACAAACAGGACCCCAAGCAGACGCCCAGTTACTGCAACCATCTACTCATCTTCATCTTACACCCCAGTCTTACTCAGCTGGCCAGGCTCATCCCGCCACACCACAACAACATCTGCTTCCACAGACACAACCCCAGATGGATATACTGACACACCCCGGGACCACCAGTGTCCAGCACCTCCTCCCTCAGAGCACCTCCACCGTCTCCACCACCACCACCACCACCGTCCCACACGCTACACATCTGTCCCAGGCTTCACCCATACAATACGCTGGCACCTTCCCCCCACAGCACACTGGCAGTCAGCAACCAGCAAATCTCCTCCCACAGCACACCGGAACTCAGACTCTTCCACAGCACACCAGTACACCTCCCCTTTCACGGCACACTGACACTCTTCCCCGAGGTGGCACCCAGATGTACACCACGGCACCACCCCCACACGGGGCCGTCTCCCGTGGACTGACACTCTCCCAGCTGGCGACACAGGTCCACTCAGTACCTCAGGACCCTTCCTGGCACCAGTCGCACCAGCGGGCATCCCAGCCCCTCTCAGCGTCGCAGGCCCACCATTTGCCTCCCGAGGACGACCCCCAAGGCCACCAGACACAGCACCAGACACTCCATGGCCCCAGCCTTCACCCTGAGTCAGCCACACACCCACACTCCATTCCACCTGATAATGTTTCAATAAAACTTTTTACAACTTTTCGGTATTTTCGCCTTTCATTATCCATCGCTTAAAATGAATCGACTTGAAGAAATAATTACTGACAATAGAAGATAAGAGGAACGAGAATGACCCAGATAACCTTGAGGGGAAAATAATGAAAACTGGCAGGGATATATCTGCAATGCTGTTTTGAATATATGCAAAAGTTGGGAAGGAATTTATGAAGGTTGCATAAATGTATGTGACTATACCACCCACGCAGGAGAGTCTGGGTTACTTATAGCAAGAAAATGTATAATCCTTTACAAAACAATTTCCAGTTCTTATGGTTTTCTATTCCTGCCCACAGAAATACTTTACACAGAAAAGTTCACAACTTTTGTCAGAGAACATTAGCAGTAACTACCACAGGCGTTCTTTTTCTTTGTAAAGTAAGGTTCTGACACCAAAAATAACTCCAGTTCTAAGACAAAACTATTAAGTCCTGACACAGATATATTTCAGTTCTGATAACGAAAACTTTACATTTAGACACCGATAAAACTACTCTCCTGACACCGCCACCAATAACATTACCCCGATTGTGAGGAAAACATTACGTCACCAATGGTAACTATTTACCCCATGATCAACCCTGGAAAATAAATTGAAAATCTAAGAGTGGAACAACAAAACCCAAAGGTTATGAGAATAACCCCTATGATAAATATTTTCATTTACCTGTGTTAAAAGTAGCCAAAAATCATAAGTTATTTAAACTCGACATAAAACACAAATAAGAACAAAATAAAAAAATAAATAAAGACAGTCGAGGATAATAAATCATAATAGCGAGTAAGAAAACACAGAGAATAACAATGAATACACGCACTACTTAACTCGTTCAGCCAGTCACTTACTCAATCATTCACTGCCAACCTTACCCAACACTGATTCTCTTATTCACTCTGCGCCTCCATCACCCCCTGCCGCCCATCACCCTGCCGCCCATCACCCCCGACGCCCATCACTTCACGCCCCCATCACCCCACGCCGTCCATCACCCCACGCCCCCATCACCCCACGCCTCCATCACCCACGCCCATCACCCCACGGCTCCATCACCCCACCTCCACCACCCTACGCCTCCATCACCCCTACCTTCCATCACCCCCTACGCCTCCACCACCCCTACGCCTCCACCAACCCTACGCTTCCATCACCCCACGCTTCCATCACCTCATCCCAACACCTCACCCCCATCACCCTCACGCCTCCACCCCCTGCCCATCACCCCCTACGCCCATCACCCCTACGGCTCCATCACCCCTACGCCCATCACCCTACGCTTCCATCACTTACGCCCCACCAACTTCACGTCATCACCCTCACGCTTCCATCACCCTCACGCCTCCATCACCCTCTACGCCTGCATCACCCCACGCTTGCATCACCCCCACGTTGCATCACCCCTACGCTTCCATCACCCCACGCCTCCATCACTTCCACAAATTACATCTCTCAATCATTCTCCCCAATGGTCTGAGGTCAGCTACATCACCAAGACCATTTAGGGCGTTTCCTTGCCCTCCCGCCTCTGTCCATCTCAAGTTTTGTGACTTCATAAACTCGACCAAGAAGAGGTTGACCTGTCGTCTCTCTAGATTGGGTTGTGTTGATGTTTGTATTTCACTTTCACATCCAAGACCTTTAAACACCAGGCATACTTTACACTGTTATTGTTATGTGATACCTTTCATAAACTATCGTCTTTAAGCGTGTATTTCACGTAAGTAAATACACTTTTCATCTACAACGTCAAAGGAATCCATCTCTCAGTGCAATGTTGTATCTCTTCCTCAAAACATACACTACTGAGACAAATATACTGAAGGGGTTATTCCACATAATACTGAACTTTGAAGAGCTAGGAGCATTGTATACGTATTTTCTTTTTGACAATAGCCATAACTCGTAGCTATAAATGACTATTGGTGTTTTAGTAGGGTTATGAACCGCACTTCTTGTTCTTCTTGTTCTTCTTGAAAACCACTGGTTCTTCATGGCTGGTAATACATACAGGTGGCTGTTATGTCACTCTAAATGTAATTCTTTCTCGTTAGGTGGGAGACGAGGAGCTTGAATTTAGGCAGTAAAAAATAGGATCATTAGAGACCCATAAAACACGTTAAAGAACACTAAATAACACCAAAGAACAATTAAGAATATCAATGTTAACAGTAGAGCATAATAAAGCCTCACAAATGTCATTAAAATACAGTAAAAAGCACTAAAACAATAAAATACTTTAAGTCCAATTAAAGGCCACTAAAATCTAATTAAACTGAGTCAACTACTAACAATATAATAAGGTTAAATACAGTCGAACACAATAATACACACCTGTCACAATTACTGGCACATAAAGGTAATATTAATTAAGGTAATACAGTGATATGAAAAGCGACACGGTTAATTAACAGCCAATGCAAGAAAATTACTAATTAAACAATATTGATAACACGATAATAATATTTTGTACATGAAATCAGCCGACACGTGAACATCAGCTGGTAGGCATAAACATAAAGACATCAGCTGACTGGTATAAACAAAGACACGTGATCATCAGCTGGTACATAAAACATAAAGACATCAGCTGACTGGTATAAACAAAGACACGATCATCAGCTGGTAAAAACAAAAGACATCACTGACTGGATAAACAAAGACGTGATCATCAGCTGGTAGGCATAAACATAAAGACATCAGCTGACTGGTATAAACAAAGACACGGATCATCAGCTGGGTACATAAACATAAAGACATCAGCTGACTGGTATAAACAAAGACACGTGATCATCAGCTGGTAGACATAAACATAAAGACATCAGCTGACTGGTATAAACAAAGACACGTGATCATCAGCTGGTAGGCATAAACATAAAGACATCAGCTGACTGGTATAAACAAAGACACGTGATCAGCTGGTACACATAAACATAAAGACATCAGCTGACTGGTATAAACAAAGACACGTGATCATCAGCTGGTACACATAAACATAAAGAACATCAGCTGACTGGTATAAACAAAGACACGTGATCATCAGCTGGTAGACATAAACATAAAGACATCAGCTGACTGGTATAAACAAAGAACACGTGACTACAGACATAAACATAAAGACATCAGCTGACTGGTATAAACAAAGACACGTGATCATCAGCTGGTAGACATAAACATAAAGACATCAGCTGACTGGGTAAACAAAGACACGTGATCATCAGCTGGTAGACATAAACATAAAGACATCAGCTGACTGGTATAAACATTTACATCACGAGATCGTTGGTCTGTGCTGGCCGAGACACGCGACGGACGTACAGATTAAGTTAAATATACTGGCACAAGATAACGCTATAATTATCGTCTGTAAATCTTATCTCTATTCTAAGACGCTAGAAGGTAGATGAATATAAGCAATGGAAATTAATATGGAACGGACGCAAGTAAAATATGATTATAGTGACAACAATGAAATTCAACTTATTACATTTATTATCAATATTACACCATCGTTATCATTATCATATATTTATCTCTATCGTTATTACACACACACACACACACACACACACACACACACACACACACACACACACACACACACACACACACACACACACACACACGCAAAGACAATGAATGACTCTGACAGACAACTACTAAACTAAGGCCAAATATTTTCCAGCAAATATTTGTCGTAAAATAGTCTGTCCAACTTGCAGCAAACAGTCCTGATTATTCGCTGCAGCACTGATAGAGGAGAGAGCGCGCCTACAACCGCAGGGACACGGTAATCTAAGTTGTGTAAAGTATTCCTAACTGCGTCTCTGTGTTGTGCTGGAGAGAAACGACAAACACCGCTATAAATTCTGCAGATATAGAAGCTATTTGTTTTATTTAAGAGAAGAAACTTAAAAACGTAAAAAAAAAGTAAATAATAATAATAATAATAATAATAATAATAATAATAATAATAATAATAATAATAGTAATAATAATAATAATAATAATAATAATAATAAAATAAATAATAATAAATAATAATAATAATAATAAGATAAAAGAGAAGTTTAAATTATTGATACATATAAGCAAATAATAAAACGTTAGAGAGAGAGAGAGAGAGAGAGAAGAGAGAGAGAGAGAGAGAGAGAGAGAGAGAGAGAGAGAGAGAGAGAGAGAGAGAGAATTATTGCACAATTTCAGGAGAGAAAAGAAAGAATGAAAGCACTGAAAGGTGAAGCTGTTGCCTGAGAACACTAAGCTTCTGACTTGAGGTGATTTACATTAATGTATAAGCTTGTGAGGCAACACGGGAGGCCAGCTTAATGGCACCTGGGAGTTACCTGTTCATGAGGCAGGCGGTGTGTGTGTGTGTGTGTGTGTGTGTGTGTGTGTTGCACATTCAACGTCACAACAAAACACTCATCACCACACAATCATTCAATATATCCACACACACACACACACACACACACACATCTCCAACTAGCAGTCTAAACATTGGTACACACTCTGACACGCCCAATGTATTTCCAGTTTTTTTTTCAGATTTTTTCTTTTGGGCGTTGGAAAAAACTAAAGAAAAAAGAGGAAAAAAAATGTAGTTGGAATGATCATTTCTGACTCAACTGCGACCAGTTAGCTCAGTAATCTCCCCTTACCCTTTCTCCCCACCCTCCTCACCTTCTCCCACCCTCCTTAGGAAAACAAATGCAAGACTTACGTAGAAATGAGAGAAAGAGAAATAATGAGAAATAAAGAAGAATAAAGAGAAATAAAGAGAAATTAACATATAGAGAGACATACGTATAAAAGATAAAAGAAGTACAAGTAAAGAAAGATAAGAATGACACAGTAAGAGAAAATAAAATGGAATTACAAAAGAGACGTAGAGAGAGAAATATATCTCTGATAATTAAAGAGAGAGTTACAAAGAGAAATCAAAGAGAATAGAATAAATAAATAAATAAAGAGAGCGACATAGGGAAAGTA